CAGCCCTGARTGCTGCTTTAAATGCATGATTCACACTGATGTCCAGGGGTTGCAAAAACTTTGTTGTACCTCCAGGAATAACAGCAGGAATTGAGTTTGTTTTCTTGATGGCTGCTTTCACCGAATCCGTGATGAGGGCCCACATACTGTCCAATATCGTGTCTGTCGAAGATCCGTCATGTCATGTCTGCTACTAGCTAAAACAAAATGGCTCCCGCTCCAGCATACGTCACTGCATGGGATTCCTTCCCCGGGGAGTGCAATGCCGAAAAAAAAAGTCAGCAGCTCTTCACTCCACGTTTATCCACAAACTGGTCCTGGATTAAGCTCCAAAGTTTTTATCGGTCAGATTCCACCATGGAAAATGTCTGTTTTATCCACTTTTATGAGTTTTTGGCCATTGACTATCTTTACATCGCTGCTTCCTGGTACAACAGTCGGCTCTGGAAGCTATCGCTTTTTTTCTTCTTTTTTTGAAGCGAGTGGTTGTTGCAAATGCAGCATAAGAGCCCCCTGGTGGCTGAAGAAAAAAATCCACGTATAAGACGCACCGGACTATAAGTCACATGGTTCAAAGTTCAGGAAAAAAGTCGCGGCTTATAGTCTGAAAAATGCGGTACATGTTTTGCTGTATCTTGAGTTGAAAGGTTTTTAAAACGTATAAGAATATTTAAAGTTGGGAGTAATCCTTTTGCACATTTTGGTCATAATGCATGCGCACACGTGTTTTTCGAGTATTCACCGGAAGTAAGGGGGATCATTCACCGTACAAGTCGAGTGTTTACATTCCTCCCAACGATAGCAATGGGGAAAAGTGACTTTTGTAGTGTGTAGAAATGTTCGAGGCAACGTGACCGAGTAAAAAATAAAGGAGAAGCTCGCTCCTTTTCCCAAATTCCTCTAGGAAAGTTGAGCAAAGCTGCTACAAGAAGAAAGCTGCGGCTCAATGTGCTTCGCTGTCACGACTTCACTCCAAAGAAAAACAGTGAAGTGTGTAATCATAAATAAATAATAAACACCAAATCAGTCTACAGTTCAGCAAGTTTTGGTGTGAGACGTTCTATGGCATTGACACAAATGTTTGATTCTGACCCCTGAGTCAATGAAAACAAGACAAGAACAAGACAACTTACCCTGCTGGGCATTCACAAAAGGCCTGAAGGATTTCACTACCTTTAATCAGCACAATGAACACTCCATAGTGCTGTTGCTTCATGCTTGCTGTGACTTTAGCATGTATGACAACAGTGCCAGCACAAACGCTATCATCAGCAGTGCCACAAACACCACTAATCTAAACGTGGACATCTTTTGAAAATGTGATAGCGCTCGTTGACTTCGACGTCCTTGTGTCGGCGATTGTCTTCCTTGACACAGTGGCCCCCTCCACAGTTGCTTCACAATGACGTCCTCACGGACCTGTGGCACACTTTGCAGGGATTTTGTCTATTGGTTGTCCACAGTTTTCCGAAAACCATGCATCGACATTACAACTCGCCATCTTCACCTCGTTCTTTCACATTACGTTCACCCTATCTTCCGGTTTTTGCAGGAATGATAATTGTGGTGGCATTTCGCCATTCAATSAAAATGTTTGTTTCATGTGTGCTTCGCAATGTGCAAAAGGAGTATTGTTTTAAGAAACTAAACGCGACTTTATTCTTAAAACCACTTGGTTTAGCTGTTAGCTCATTAATTTAGTAAGAATTAAGCTTYTTTAAACAAAGTGATGTCCTTCAAAAAGCTAAAGAAGGTAAGATGTTATTGTTCACAGCATTTCCACAGGACCCTACTTCAAATGATRTAAACCATCGCTCTAAAGATATTTTTCTTCTTGTTGTTCATTGACACGGCAGCATTAGACACAAAGCACACCCTGGGGTGAGGGAAAAAAACTGTTATCTGGTATATATGCTGTTTGGCTTTCAGCAGTTGTTTTTTTTTTTTTTTCTGAAATCAATCTCACCTAACAGACCTAAATCTTTCTTTGCCCCTCATCTTTTGTTTTTTGTTTTTTTTGTATTGACTGGCAAAAGACTCAAAAGGAGTGGGTCGGACTGGCTCGTACGCAGTGCCACGCCATCATTCCTCACATCTTTAGAGGGTGAAGGAGAGGCGGAAAACACTGGGCCCATCRCATGATTGCAAGGACAAAGAGAGGAAGAGACTCCCCGCTAAGAACTCAAGCTATACCTCTTTGAACTCAGCTGAAAGGAGGTGGGAGGAGAGTGCCAGGGTCTAACATGTCGGCGCACACACTGAGGAAGTGGCGGGGTCTTTAATTGGAGGCACTGCAGTGTCGGAAGACAGCAATTTAGTTTGCACTTGGTAAACAATCCGAACAAGTTCCTTTCTTAACTGTGGGCGAGTTTAGGGCAGACCACTGGTGGTGTTCGTTAGGCAAGAGGCACCTCTGAGACTATAGAAGGAGGGGAAGAGGAGGAGGAAGAAGAGCTKAGACTGTTTTTCAATTTAACTCGGCTGATTCAAAGGCAGAAGCACACATTACTCTAATTTAAAACATTTATCTCCTGTAGATATGAAGCCTGAGGTAAGGATCCACACAGAATATTGACTTTAGTAACACACACACAAACGCACACACATTTGTTTATCAATTCCTTGCTCACCCAAGAGAAAGACGGGATTAAGAATTTGATTCACACCTGCCGTTGTCTGTCCCACCCGGCAAATCGCTGCTTCTTAATCAGACCAAAAGCATTAGACATGATGCACAGGTATTCTCTCGGCTCCCACAAGACGCCTTAAATGAGTCCCTCGAGTGCTTTGAGTTGCAGGCGCGATGGATTCGAGAGCCCGCACACATTGTGATTGGTGGATTTCACCAGACAAGGCAGTGCCAGAGGAGGGGATGTGTATCAGCGTTGTAATGACATCATCTGCTTGGGCTGTGACAGTCGAGGGGGATTTAGAGTGGGGAAGTGTCAGCTGTTGCCATGGGCAATCACAAGCAAAGGGTTGAGCGGATAATACAGATCAGGTAACACAAGATGCTCTGTTCACACAGTGACAGCAGCTAGAACCAGAACATTTCATATAGGGTGTCAGTGCAAATACAGCCAAAAGAACCCAACGTCAGTTTCTGAATATTCTGAAGTAAAAATAATTGCCAACATTTGGATGTATAAAATGTTTAAGCATAAAATCAACCAAGCTAAAAAGACTGCCAGTACCATATTGTGCTCACCATGATAACCACACACCTGTTTTTGTCATTCCTTTGCAGCCAAATTAATGATTAAAGAACAGACTGACAATTAGCCTACAAACAGACACTGTGCAAAAACTKTAAGTCAGATATTACATGTTTAAAAAAATACAGGACAAAGTATTTTATAGAATAGTTGGGGTGCTTTAATGCGTCTAAACTGGCACCTCTTAATGTTCTTTTTTTTTTCTTTTGTCTTGATCATGCAGCTAATTTAAATCTGAAAATGTTTCTGGCCAGAATTTTTGGGCTCATAACTTTTAATGATGAGTATAATTTAGCTGGAGCCTTTGGATACACACTTTTAAAATGATGAAAATATTCCCATGAGCCATCTGCTGTTATTAAAAAAAAGTTTAAATCTGCCTCCTGTCTAAATGCAAAGATGAACTTGTACGTTAATCATATCATTAAAAAAGATCAAATCTAATTTTTATAAAATTCGTTGTGCTTTAAGTATTTATCAGGCAATCTTGATTAAAACAGAAACATTTTTAAGGCTAAAGAACTTGTGTACCATTAATTTTCCTCCTTTTTTGTTGATAATATTCAATGTATTTTTCCAATAATTTGCCAAGTTTTAAAATTTTTGGACTCAGAAGTGTTCCTGTCAAGAAAATTTGTCTGTTACTTTTCATTGGTTATAAAATAATTGAATCTGCACACAGCAGTTGCTAAACAAGCCGTGACAGGCCCATCTGCAACTCCATCTGCAAAGATTTAGGAAATCACAAAGTTTGCATCTCATAGATTAAAATTAATGAATTTTCCAAACTGTATTTTAAAAGTTAAAAAAGCGTTTTAATCAGGATTCATTTGGTTTTACTTTTAATTAACCTACTTTTTGTGGTGGTTTTCCTCCAAACTGAATCCAAAGCACTAACACATTTTCCGTCTTTTAATCAAAACACCTTTCCCCCGTCCTGATCTTTAGTCTTTCTTTTTCTTTCTTTTTTTAGAATGCCTATCACATAATGTGTCAGAGCTTGGCAAGCCATGTTCTATTTAAAACTCTGACCACCTCTGTCAGAAAACCAATTACTGGTGAGGGTTTCGTTTTAATTTAAATAAGATTGCATTACAGTGACACGAAAAGAGGGCACTGTCAGGATGGAGAGAACACGAGTACTTCTTTTTATCTGTTTTCACAGCACTGGGATTGTAGGACAAGACTTAACTGCATGAAGAAAATCTTTGTGTGTGTGTTGGAGAGGCTGGGGGGGGTATGTTTCTGTCAAAGACAAGAAGGTGAGGTATACTATGATGCATGGATTCACATATATGTAAACATGTGTGTTAGCCCAACACAGCTCGAAGCAGGCAGCTGGAGAAGAGGAGAACAATTATTGCAGTGCCTCAGGCTCAAATCAATAAAAAGGCCTGAGTAAAGCTGCAGCAGTGGCATAAAGCCACATGATAAGTCATTTATAAGTTTTATTTTCATGATCCCACGTCTAATCTGCTCAGCCCCCCTCACCCACACCTTYGTAGGTTTCTGTCTGCATTTGAAGCCACTGCAGCCTGCAGAAGTTCAGAGAATCCTGCACAAGCATTTCAAACATCTGAAGCTCATTACAAAGTGCAAACGGAGAAGTAATGTGTGAGAAAAGCAGTCAAACGAACTTTACAGGGTGGTTGCATCATGATTCTCTACCTGTCGAATGAATTTTTGAGTTAGAGAGGCATCGTGAAATAATTGTTTTCTTCTTCCTCTGTCTCTATTTACCCTTCCCTTCACCTCCCCTCCGCTGTCTAACCTTGGACGGACCAGCGGACGAGCTGGGGATCGAGTTCATGGGTGAGGCRACTTCTTTCTTTGTCTTTTTTTTTTCTCTCCATCAACTTTGCAGAGTACTCAATCGTTCATGTGCCTCACATGTGTAAAACACCTCATACAAAACACACAATCCAGCACAACAAGGCCGCTCACCTTGGAAATTAATGTGGGCCAGTTGCCATGGAAACACTGTGGCGGTGAATTAGGTGTATTCTGTCTGCATGGAGAAACATTACTGTTAGAGGAGAGTGATTTAATGAGTGTGGGGATAAGACAAACGACAGCAGTCCTTGTTTACTCGCCTGACGTGTGTTTGCGGAGTCACTTAAGCAGCAGTTTCTTAAAAATAAAAAAATAAAAAAAAACAGGAGACTATCTGCCTTTGTTTCATGGTACAGTGCGCCAGGCCTGATACAAGAATTCAAGGCACAAAAAAGTCAACCTGTGAAGTGAAAGACATTAAATATTAGGGGTGTCACAGTGCATGTATTTATGCTAAACCAGTTTGGTTCAAACATCAGGGTCCGGTGCTCGCAATCAGACGAAGAATATCTGAGTCACAGTTGATCACCTCTGTCATCCAGAAAATAGCTCACTTTTTTTAATGACTTTTTCTGACAGAAAAGGAGCAGAGGAAGCTACTACATTAAACACTTTACATCATAGCAAAGCAAAAATAACAGGTGTTTTAAATCAGCAGTGTGGAACAGGTTCCAGTCTCAAGTGATTGTGGCAGCAATAGAGAATAAAAGGTGAAATGTACGGAAAGCCAAATGTGTCATAATTTGCTCACTTTGAAATGTCTTCTATAGTGTCTAATTGAGAGATGGTTTTTAGTTCGGTAATACTACCAATTTTACATCAAGTATAGGTAACACTAAATAAAACAAACACAAATTAGATGTACTTTTCAGATTTGGAATTTATCAAATGTTTTCAAGACCCTTGACAAAGACAACTTTAACAGTACAAACTGGATAAATAATCCCTATTTTGCACTGGATGTGGTTCCGGTTTATTCCGCTCCAGCCTCAGYAGTAAATATGCAACCRTTATAATCAATGAAAACATTTACACTGGTGCCACACCGCAGCCCCCCAAAATTAGATTAAATTCTATTTTTGCAGAATGATACGGAGTCAGTCTACAAAGATCACACCACACCARCAGGAAAASGAACAAGCACATTTGTATTTTCAAAATAACTGCACAATGCAGCCGAGTGAAATTGCCTGTATTATAAATCGGAGGTTAGACCACAAAAATATGAGGCACCGAATATCAATATATTATTTAGCTCACTTTTTGAGTGCAAATTCCTAGTTAAATAATTTCCACTAACAGTTTTTTTGTATTTAGCTCACTGTGCATTTTACTAATATTTACTAAATGTTAAATGTTGCAGCTGAAAGATCAAGCTTACATTTAAGAATTTCAGAATGGAACACAGCCTTTGCTTTTAGAGCACAGCTTTTGTAATGATGTAATCATTCTGACCGCAACTGCAAGTTTAATGCATTTTAGGGAAGTATTAGCAGCGTTAGCAGTTGATAAAGGTGACTGAGATAACTTACCAAGCTAAAACGTTGCCTCTACTCCAGTTCTTCAGAAAATGTACTTTCTAGTCCGACAGTAAGGTTCAGTTTTATCCTGAGCTGCAGTTTTCCAAAACTGATATTGTATAATGTCCTGATGCATCTCAGTAATCCAGGTAGAAAAAAAGTAGGTCCCCATCCAGAGGACCTACTTGTTTTTTTATTTTTGATATTGTACAATGTTGCTGCTTTTTTATTATTATTACAACAAAATAGGCTACAACACTCCAGGTTGTAAACATCATGAAGCTGTTGCGATGACATGCAGAAATGGGCGTGACAGAATCTATAGGAGGTTTTTAAGGAGACAGAACCCAATTTCAAGGCGTTTATGTGAAGTCAAAATTATTTATGATTTATTTAATTTATAATATATAATAAACAGAATTTTCATAACTATTGATACTTTATTATTGTAAAGAATTGAAATATATGCCTGAGAAACATGTAATATTGGCCCTTTAAATGTAAACTTGAACATTAGCCACATTTGCATTTAACTTTTACATTTAGATTTACACATTTAGAACTAAACATCTGAACATAACATTTAAATTTAACATTTAATAAAAATGAGCCAATAGGGAGCTAAATAATTACTGTTAGTGGATTTTTTTAAACTAGGATTTTGAACTCTAAATAACGAAATGTGTTACTGACTTTAACACATTTGTTTACACATGGGGCTCTATACAAAAAGGCTTTTTAAATATTTTAGTGGCGTTACCAGTTGACACATCTTATTTTTGTATGTGACCTTGCTTAGATCCTCCAAACCACCAAAGGTTTGTTTTTATCTATGCTTCTAGGAGGTTTATTGTGTGAGTAGAATAAGCAAAATTATTTTGGCATTTGTTCCTTTTTCTTGTGGTACCAAACCATGACCCCAAAACTGAGGTAGGCTACATACCAAACAGTGATTTATGTGTACTTTTACATCTCTGTTAAATATGCAAAAAATACTTTTTTTTCCTTTTGTACCTTCCAGGTGGTTAACACAGCTTCAGAAAAACAAATTGTCTGACCTTTGTTTGTTAACAATGTCACACTGCTCTTAACTAGCAGAAATGTAACGTCACACTCCTCACATGTGCACACCTCTCTCCTTTTACCATCTGTTCTTCACTGTTTTGTCCCATTTTGTTGTGTGTGTGCATAAAAGCCAAGCTATGATGTTTTCCATTAACATGTCTTCACACACTGCCAACACGTCAGACGCTCGCTTCAGGAAATAGGCAGAAGAAGAAGACGCTCAGGAAGCGAATCCTGTGCCRCGCACAACATTCCTCAGTCCAGTGATTTTAATCTGGGGACTAAATTAGTTCCGAGTACTGCTGCAGGTGGACGGATGCATTACAGATTGATCGATTGATAGCAGGACGGATGGCAGGCATAAAGGAATAACAGATTTTTGTTTGCCTCTTTGCACTCTGGTTTGATTATTCATTGTGTTCCATTATAAATCTCCCTTCTACTTTATCAATAAATCTTTGAACAGTTGTTATATAAGTCCTATATGTGACAGCCTGAGAGTCAGAACACAGCAAAGCTGTGTTTGATGTAGGATTGAACGCTGTAAATATGATTTCTTTCGTCCAGCAGCTTAAGCTTTGCATGTCTCACTAGTTCACTCTGATGTATTTCAGTCTGATCACCCTGTTTTGTCATGGAGACTTTAGCATGGTCTTCATTACAGAATTTTATCCCAATCCAAATGGAGAGCAGTTGTTATGATATTGCTGGCCACGTGGGTAGTCTTCTCTTTGTGTCAGTATAGCATGGTTTAGTCAGTTTATCTCACTTTGTTGCCTTTCCTAACACTTTCTTGCATCTAATTTCAAGAGTGCCTTGTGGGCATCCAGCATGAAAGGTCTGTAATGGCTTTATGTGCAGACTGCAGATAGTTTTCCTTCCTYGCAGCCATTCAGCGCAGCTTTGTAGGCAGCTGTTTTTATGTTCAGATTTTGGGAAAAAGCCTATTACATCCATCAAGAAGAAGCAGAGGTTGGTCTCAGGTGGTGCTCCGCATGAACACTGATGATGCAGCAGCAGCAGGGAAAGATATTCCCCATGTTTCACATCTTCAACAGTTGAGGTCATTTCACTGACGGTGAAGGCCGGAAGCTTATGTATAGGTTTTTACCTATATTTTGAACCTTGTTACAGGGTTTTATCCACAAAGTGCACTGATGCAGCACCGGTGTCATGCAGAGGGAGAATCTTATCAAAAATAGCCAGAACACAGCTGTGCTTGGTGGTTTTAGTGATGAACAAAAGAAGCTCTTCAACAGCTTCTGTTGATAAACTGGGGCAGGTTAAGATCACCCAGGATAGTTTTCTTTTAGCAACATCAGAAGCTACAGACAAACCATCACATGTCAGAAACATGGTGCGGTGATGTTTTATTTTTCTTTACTTTGCTTTTTGTGAACCAGTTGAAGTCTGACTCTGGAGGTTTTATGACCCCAATTCTAATAGGACCTTATATAAAATGAAAATCAAAAAAACAATGCCATGACTGGTAATCATAAACCATTATTTTAGCTGCAGTAAGCTCAAAAAGCATACTAAAGGTTTAACCTAAGTAATTGTGCAATTTTTGGGGAGAATAGTTATGGCATTTATGGCAGCATCACATCTCACAAAAGATGGGACAGGCAAAAAAAAATGCTGTAAAAGTGAGCGATATGGCCAGGAAACAGCTGGAGTATAATTGTACAATGAGTTGGGTTAATTGGCAACAGGTCAGTGGAAGGATTGGGTATAAAAAGACCTTTTAAAATAGGCTGAATCTGCCAGAACTGCTGATACTGCATTCATTGCAACCAAATGGTTTTGTAGTAGAAGAGTCCAGGTGTGTAACTGTCCTGCCTGTTGTCCAGAGCTTTCAACTGAAAAAAGAAAACCCATCATCAGAGGTGTCAAAAGTATCACAKTCATTACTYAAGTAGAATTATAAGGGTGTAAAARTACTTTTTTGSAAGTAGTAGCATCAATCAAGCTTTTTACTCAAGTAAAAGTGCAAAAGTGCCCACCTCCCTAAAAAACATTTTTTCTAAAAAGGCCAAAATGACTGTGAAATCTAGTAAATTGAATATTAAAAATATGGAATGCACTTGGCTACCTGTTCCAGCCACATATATATCACTGCCACGCTCATCTTTATACCAGTCTGATGTGTCATCATGGCGATGTGTGTCATGTGCAGGTGTGATGGATTGTGTACAAACAAGTAGGGTGTGGAATAGTATATATTTCTCATCCAGCCACAAATATAATTCATTCTATACAGGAGGCACCATATATCTGGATATGTTGTTTTGTTTTAACTTACCCGTAGTTTTTTTTCCTTTTTTTTTTTGAATGTTGACAAGCCAGAATGAAAACATGCCTAAGTAAAACATTTTTCATTTTTAAAATGTAAGGAGTAGAAAGTACATATACGGTATTTACTTGTGTACAATACTAGAATTTTTTTTCAGTGACACACAGAACCGGAAACTTCAGCTGCAGGTCTCTTGCAGGAAAACACGCCCACACAAGTGTGTCCCCCTAAATAATGTTTCCCCACCAGAGGGCACACTGCAAAGGCTGAAAAATCCTGAAGTCTGTCTGAAATGAGTGGTGGCTTCACACATGATTAGATTTTTTATGCTTTTTAGACTTCAAAAATGATGACTATATTATATTTAAGATCATATTATACTTGAGACCATATTATACATGAATAAATACGATAATTGCATGAAAATATAAGAAGTAGAAGTAAAAAGTTTGCTGAATTTTTTTTTACTTCAGTAAAGAACAACTAGCCAAAATTAATACTTAAATAAATTAACAAAGTATTTGTACTTTATTACTTGACACCTCTGACCATCATGAAGCAAAAACACCCACCATGAAAGACCCAGGACTTGATTTCCAGACAGTATTGTCATGAGATATCCGTCTAAGTCAGAGCACCGGGTCCTGCCTGGCACAGTGTGCTGCAGTAAGAAGTGCCGCACCACAACCCAGCTGCCCAGCATCGCAGCTATCTGCTGGGGATCAACTGTTACTTGTCCCAACTGCTTGTGACCTTAAGCCTCTGCGSCTGATGTGCAGAGGTCTGACAAGAAGCTCCGGGAGCATCCATTTGCTTCTAATTCCCTGTCGCCATCAGTCTCAGAATGCTCAAATGCGCGCACACTCTTGGTGTGGCCTGTACCATGTMGGCAGTTCATTGGTGTTGCCTGCCGGGTTTGTCTGAACGAAACGATTATCACACTTCAGTTAGCACGTGTCACTGAGCCCTGCCTGTGTCTGCCATGTCCCTACACCATAGCCCAATACTGACTTTTACTGACAGCGGCACTGCTTCCTGCTTATTGGGTCATGGGYGGATGTGTGTGATTGTCACCTCACCGTTTTTGTGTTTTGTTTAATCCAAAATATGTCTCTTTCTTCCTGCGCAATCACAGTCGACACCCTTTGTGTCTCTGTGGAAACTCATTGTYCTAAATTGTATTCTCCTCTTTGCAGAGAGTGGTGACACCTACCAGAGGCAGGTGCTGTCCATCTTTAGCATCGCCTCGGGGATCTGTCTTCTCGGAGTGGCATGCATGGCTCTCTACCGCCGTAACAAGTGAGTGATTCCAGCCCAGAACCGCATTAGCAGCGCGAACCCCAAGCTATGCAGAAAGAACACTTTACTACTGTGGCATGGAGCCCAACAAAAGTGTGAGTCAGCTCAGGGATTTTTTAGTTAGGCATCAAGTCTAAATTGTGTGGGATGCATTTGGGACAGATACTCATGTAAGATTTATTCGTAAAGTGGTTTTAGCRAGCAGTTGTGTCACATACGCTTCACACAAAACTAAATATAAAGATTCAGCACCAGTATCTGGCACTGTCAGAAACATTAGAGCATTAAAAGTGTGTGCCTTTAGGTGTGGTTCAGCATAAAATCAGACTACAAGCCCCAGTTTTTCATGACATACAGAGAAAATTTATATAAATATATAATAATTCAATTCAAATCAAATTCAAAAATACTTTATTGATCCCAGATGGAAATTAGGCACTGATGTAACTCATTTAACTAAATAATTATTGTAGATGGTAACAGGGGCGGAGCTAGACTTTCTTGCAAGGGGTGGCACAAGGGTAGCCAAGGCGTTATTTGGGGGGATCACATATAAATAAAGAACACTATCCTGGATTTGAAAATTTAGGATGACCACCACAGCCAATTTCAAATAAATCCAGTTCAGCTATTTAAAAAAAATATTGAGTTGAAAGTTTATGTGATAGTAAGAATTATGCTGACCACCCATATACAGTAGCTATAGTTAAGACGTAAATCTCAAAATGGTGGCCACATGGAAGTATCCAGCAAAGTTTCTCATGGAACTTTTCTAGTTGCTCCATGTCATTGCTATGTTACAGACTTGCCTCTAGATTTTGCTCAATTTTCATTAACTGGTTCTTAAACCTAGAAATATTAAACACAGTTTTTTGCTTTATATTAATTCAGTTGTTTAGAAAATGATTTTTTTTCTTCAAACACTGATAGGTTCCCTCTGCACCAGACTATACAGCTGCTTGACAGATACTGTATTTAATCTGTTTTCGCAGTTCAGACCATGTGTACTGCCACATACAATTTCCACACCACTTAGCAATCATTTGGGGGTGGCACTTAGGGTGGCCAATCAGGTGCCCCAGATTGCCCTTGACACCTGGGCCACCTCTCTGGCTCAGCRCCTAAATAATAACATTGGTTGAGTTGAACAAATGTTTTTTTTTTTTTGGTTTGCTTTTATTCCCAGCACTTCTTGCACTTGTTCTTATCAGTCAACATGAACAAAAGCATTTTGGGATATTTACAGTATTGTGCCACAAATTATCCAAACCCGCATATCTTGTTAAATGGATTTTCTTTTCCTCAAATGTTTCTCAGCTTTGCAGTTCAGACACATAGATCATCCTGAAAATACAGCAGTTTATTCTGTTCTCCAGTAAAAGACAAACATTTCTTTTGTCACAGCTCCTCATGGAGAAGATTAGCACTGTGTAAAATTTTATTCTTCAGGTTGCTTGATAACTTTATCATGCTTAGCAAATTTACTAATATGTGGTTTACTACAAATCTAATAAAGTTTAGCATATATTTTACTAATAAAATTAATTGCTAGACTAATGGTTATTATTTAAGAAGATGTGATACTAATACTGATTATATGTTGTCAGTTCTATGCTCGACATCTACCCTGCTTTCCTGTAATTATATGTCTAGTCTAGAGAGAGCAAAGATCTTTTGTCTAATAATTAATATGGTGTATTAAACAAGTATTTCCAAAGAAAATAAATGAATGTAATAACATTAGGAAACATTAGGCTTCTTGGCTGAGTTAAATTTTTTTCCTTAGATATTTATGGTATGTCACCATGCTGGCAGTAAAACTAAGGACGCCGTCTAGCGCCGGCCAAGATGGCGGAACAGATTCTTGCCTTGTTAGCATAAGACTGGGCCACTCCAGTGTACCTCTGATTCAATGATCTGAACCATCCCTTTAAATTGAGCCATCAAGAAAAATGAATCTGGTTGTAGATTGCTCTGCATGTTGTTGGAGGTTGACAGGAACTCCAACTCTATTTTCAGTGAGAACAGACGGCAGCTGTCATCTTATCCAGTCATTTGAACATGTTTGATAAAGAACCCCATCAAATAAATGACTAAACCCCCCCAGTGCCTGCTGTGCTCCACAGAAAGGGAGGCCCATCCAATCTAAGCAAACTGCACTTCTCATAAAGACGAGCATTATGACAGCTATCTGTGGTGACAAATCTTGGTGCAGAACAATGATAAGCATGGAACATTGAATAAATGGAACAATGTACACCTGTCAAATATTGCTAGTAAGACTTCACTTTATCTCTTTTCTTCTTTCTTGGCTGCTTGCTTTTTTGTACTTTCAAACAATTCCAATGAATTTTCTTCCATAAAGTAGAAGCTCAGCACACTGTTCTTCAGTGATAATTGTAGAAAAGCTTTCTTTTTCTTCTTTTTTTAAATCGAAAAAGCACATACACTAATACATGTTTAATGGTCCACAGCCTTGAATTAATTTTCACTTGAGCAACACATTCTCTTCTAATATTTTAGGAGAAGTTCCTTTTTCGTCATGTTCTGCAACGAAAGTTACCTGTTTTGAGTTGCACACTTGCCCGTGTTCACTTTGTTTCTTTAACCTCTGACGACACTTTCAGATTTGCACCATTTGGCAAAGTTGTCGTTTCAAAAGGCTTGAACTGTCGAAAGGATTTAATTACGAAGTAGCACAATAGCATGAGCTCATGGTGTTGTGTAAAAATAGCATGTCACTTCAGGCGCATTTTGCCTGCCATTTGTTACCCTTTTCGCTTGTCGTCTCGCAGCATTAAATGGCACGCAGAGTGGTTCAAGTAAGGGTAAAAATTCAACATTAAAGCAAACATGCTGTTTTGAATGTTTTATGGGATGTGGYGTTATTTACGCTGCATGTTCCCTGAACGCATGTCTGTCTGAAGACTCACAAGTCTGCTGTGAAATTTTCTGTGCACAAGTTAGTATTCAGAACACATTTTCTGTGAAAATACAGTGTGAATGCTGAGTGGACTTGCTGAAATCTGATGAAGTAGCTGAAACGAAGTTGGTTAGGAAAAAAAGAAGCAAAACACAAGCTAAAACGAACTAAACACTAGACTAGCCTAAAGCTAAAATGAACAAAAYAGACTAAATGTGGAATAAAATGTAGTTAGAAGCTAAAGGACATTTTTTTAGCTAGCAAAGTGCCAGCCAAAAGCTAAATGTAATAAAAGGCTAGCTAAAAAGACTAAAAGTTTGGTTAAGAATGGCTAAAGTAAGAGTACAAAAACAAAAATTATTATTAAAAGTACTGAAATGCTAAAGCTAAAACCGACAAGTCTATATAATGTCTGAAATTCTAAGATCATAGAATAGCTTGAAGCTAAAGGCACCAAAGGGCTAAGGGCTAAAAGCTAAATGTAGAAAAAGGCTAGCTGAAGTCTTAAAGTACTAGAACTGTACCTAAAAAAAAAAATAAATGTAGCACAGGAAGACAAAATAAAGCAAGATTTCAAAAAGATAACTGAAAATAATTAGAAAAAAATTGTAAATTAACTATTTTATTAAGTAGTCAGATTTAAATGTAGGAAACAATAATATGAAAACTGAATCAGCATTCACAAAAGTCAATAAATTTAATAACTTTCCTGCTAAAAATACAATCAGGACTCATAACCATTTGTGGCGTGATCATTGTGCTAAAATTAACATTTTTTTTCCTTTGGTTGATTACACACTGCACTGTCAACACACCCAAAATCCTTTTGGTTTATCTCTTCCCTCCAATCATGAACCTGTAATGTCTTTCTCTCTTTCAATGTGCATTTTTTTTGCCTTCCACAGAAGACACAGAGAGAAACTCCAGGCTCATTTTTCTGATAGTCGAAGCTTGAGAGACTGCAGCGTCAACGCCTCCGGCCTCATGTCCAAATCCACTCCCAGGATTCAATACAGCCTTCATCTCCAAAAAGTACGTCTTTTAGCTAGTATTGATTTTGTTTCCACTCGTTTCTTAATCATCATTATCACCATCTCATCTTTATATAAACAGTGCTTACATACAATAGAGAGTTCAGAGTGCTTGTCAGGATGATGTATGATGTATGTCCTAATAATCTCTCTGCTGGCTTGAAGCCTTTTTGTTCAGACTCTTATCTGACATGGGATGGGAGGCGGTGGGGGATAATAGTTGAAAATAAATGTGCCATGCATTATACAGGAAAAATGTGCTTGTCACGTTCGCGGTGACAGATTTATGTGACAAACTACAGATTGGAATTTATAATTGGTGGCGGTGGCAAGAGTCCTGCAAGCGCAGCAACAACAAACTAAAGTTAAAACAGTGCTTTACAGGTGCTTTCAAGCACAGACAAAAATAGCTGTAACTCAGCCARTTTTACAGRTAAYCAGCTACAATTTGGTGTGGTAGTAGTTGAGAGTCATTCCCATCAAATACTCTGATTGGTATCAAATTGCACAAAATCTTTTATAGTAACTTTGCCATTAACTAATGAAGTCAACTGTGTCTGTTAGCAAAATATMTTGTGAACCACTGATCAGATATGAATGAAACAGTATGTAATTATTGGGTATAAATGTACAGCCTATTCAATTTAAAATGACCAACACAGCCAAATGACCCGAGGAAACACAAAAGTGACTGTATTTAAACTAATCTCTAATTTACACTAGGTGTGGTTTTGCTGCGCTCTACTCTGCTGCGTAGTTCGTAGCSGTTCGTTTGCACCCAAATTTATACAGCGTCCACTCTGCTCAGGTCCGGTCCGGTGCAAAACGCAGAGGAGGTCCGAGAAGCGTGTGCAGKAAATGCAAGATCGTGCAATACACTGCAAAAAATGTYCATCTAACCAAGTTTTAAAACCCTATCTGTCCATCTAAAAATATATTTTTGATCTTTTTTTGAGACTGATTTACCAAACAAGAAAAGAATGTGTAAGATTAATACTCTTATCAGAATGTGCAAGATTATTTATCTTGTTAGCCTGATAATTTGGCTTAAATTAAGTTACAGATTCTGTAAAAATTTCACTTAGTAAGATCCTTGAAATACGTGATCTGACTCAATTATTTTCCTATTTCATGAATCTTACCAAGTAAAATGTTCTTACTCCATTGGCAGAACTTWTCWCCTAATTTSAGTAAAACATTCAGTCTAACGAGATAAATAATCTTAAACGTTCTGAAAACAAAATGATTAATCTGACACATTCTGTTCTTGTTTAGTAAATCAGTCTGAAATCATATTCAAGAAGACTTTTTGGCTGGATATAGGATTTYAAAACTTGGTTAGATGGACCGTTTTTCCAGTGATAAATGTGGAAGTCAGAGCAAAGCTAATTAATTCTGTGGGAGACGGACTCAAATGRCTCAATTTTGACAGCAACTGTGTAYAAATATATCCATATATTAATATAGCTGGGATTTCAACAAAATTAGTCTGCCTTTYGTGAATTATTTTGAAAATGCGGATGTTGTGCTCATTCGTTTTCTTGTTGGTGCGACGTGATCTTTGGAGATTGACTAGCAGCTCCATGCAGATCCAGTGTAAATACTCTCATTGATAATAATGGTTGCATTGTTACTGCAGAGGTTGGACTGCAGCTGAGCAGAACAGCATCTAGTGTAAGTTACTGGTAATTCTACAGATATTGACCTAAGATTTGGTGATTTAGTGACTAAGCATTATCCTTAACAAATACTCTGAGCACTATATGTTGAGCAAATCTTTGCTAAAAATAAAAATTTGGCATTATCTGTGCCAATTTTGTCTGTTAAGCAAAAACATCTCATGAAGCAGTGGATGGAATTTAATGAAACTCTTAGAAATTAATCCTTGGATGGATTTATACAACCAGTTTACTTTTGCAGTCAAATCAAACACAAGATGGCTACCAGAGCTAATCAATATATAGAAATATAAAAAAATATAAAAATGGCTTTAACTCAGTCAGTTTTACTAATATTGAGATACAATTTGGAGTCAAGGTTTGACAAAAGCGGCTAAAATTTCATTATTTCGTATCATGAGACGATCTTAGTAAATGGTTGCCGATGTCAATTCCTTCAAGAAGTGCAGAAAAATAGATCACTGATGGGGAAAAAACAAACTCTTTGTGGCAATTGAAAGAAAAAGGTAGTTTAGCRTGGTTTACAAAGCCTCACTTCACTGCAGAGGAGAGAGCTGACCTCCAAAATCATGTGAATGATGTAACCCACGTCTCCACGGAAAGGTAATTACACTCTAATGCACGCAGGCAAAGATCTCATCAAAGGAGTGCAATCACTCGCCGTAATGCATTAGCACTTTCCTAAATTCACCCTCTCTCTTTATTTATTACTTCCCCAGCCAATTTTTTTCATAAGAAATGTGCTTTTTTGTTGTTGTTGTTGTTGTTGTTTGTTTTGTCTTTAAATTGGCTCATGGTTTCCATCACGCCTTACATCTGTGCTACAGTGCACTTAAATTCTCCATAGGAGATTTCCAGCCAAAATGAATAAATCTGTCACATCCTCTGCAATTTGCAGGGCTCGCATTTAAATATTTATGAGTTAGGATAGTTTGCCGATAACAAATAAGAC